TCAGTGAGTTTCCCAAACCCCCGCTCTCCCTGGCTCAGCCAATGCCCGCTGGCTGCTCCTGGCCACCCTGACCAATCAGCACTGAGGAAGAAGCCAGGTGAAATCAGCGGGACTTGGGAGGGGATGGGAAGGGACGGGGAGCTTTAGCCTGGGAGTTTTGGAGCTTGGACCAGGAGAGCTGCTGGCTGAGCCTAGGGGCATCCGATACAATGCCTGCTCCACCCACGGACTTTCTTCCTCCGGGTCCCAGTGGCCCTGCTCTCGGCCCCGCTCTCTCTCTCTCCATCCTCGAGGACATCCACGGGTGCCCAGCTCAGTCTGACCGCCCTGCGCTGCCCATTGGTTCTACCTGTCCCAACCTGGTCCTCACCTGGGCCCCTCACCTGGGCGGCCCTCCCCAGGCCAGGCGCAGGGCCGTCCCGGGCACCCCCAGCTGTCCCATCTTCCTCCACTCTCTCCAGCCCAGCTGCCCACCAAACATGGGTCCTGCCAGGCCCACCACCTTAGACGGGCCCCACTGACCCGCATCGCGTGCCCCAGACCCCGAACCTCCAGGCCCCTTCCCCCACCTCCACGCAGCGGCTAGATGGCGCTTTTGAGGACCTGGACCTGAGCCAGTGACTCCAATACTCAATCAGCTCCCCACTGCTCAGAGGAGGGGCTGGGAGGGGGAGCGGCTTGGGGAGAGCCTGGGCAGAATGGGGTAGGGCTCAGGTACCGAGGGAGGGGAGGTGTTCATCCTCCCACACCCCCACCTCCCATTTTCCAACCATCTTGCCCAGGCCAGCACGCTGCCAGGCTGGGACAGAAGGGGCCAGAGGCTCTGCACCTCCTCCGCGTGCAACCCCACTGGGAGCTGGTTGTGTCCCCACCTCAGAGGTGCAGAAATAAGACTCGGAGGGGATTCGGGGCTTGGCCGAGATCGCACAGCAAGAAGGAGGTGGAAGAGACACCGGAAGCCCGGCCTTTCCTGCGAATCCAGTGAAGGTTTTGTTATGTCAGTGTCTTGCCTCTTCCAAGGCTACTTGCTAGGCGTCCAGTGGGCATAATAACCACGACCCCAGCTGAGCGAGTGCAGATGAGGAGATGGCAGTTGCGAACCCTCAGAAGGACAGGCCCGAGCCCCACGGGAGGGGCGGGAGGGCGACCGAGGCCCCCCAGCACCCACACCGAGGAGACGCCGGGGACGGTGAACTCCCCGGACCGCAGGAGCCAAGGGGAACGTGAGAAATCGCCCGCCGGCTCCGCGAGGCCACCCACACCCCGAGCTCGCCACTGACGGAGGGTGCAAAGGGCAGCGAGAGACGGAGCTGCATCCGAGTCCGGCGTGAGCTGCTACGCGAACGTCCTAACCAACACCGGCAATTGGAACCTCGCCGTGGTTGAAAGAATGCCGCACTGTGACCCGCTGGGGTTCAAGCCCGTTAGGACATCTAGCGACAGAGCCCACTGTGTGAACCACTAATTAACTGAGGGGAGACGAGGTCGTATTGACAGCAAAAAGGCATTTCTTCTAAATTCATTAGCCATCCCTAAAAAAAACATCTAATTGAAATACGAATAGAGCCTAAGCTGAATAAAGACTAATTTTCAAATCTAACACTAAACATCAGCTCAAGGCACAACAGAAAAGACTTTTCATGAGCACAGACAGGACCAGCCGCTGTCGTTATGCACATCTGCTTCGCAAGTCCCAGCTAACGCGGGAGAAACAGAAGTCCAGTGTGCGATAAAAACGTTGGGGAAGCAGTCAAAACGATCTTCATTGGTAAATTATCCAGTTATGTCTTGACGACCTAAGCGACTCTGCTGGTAACGGAACAAGGAGGCGATGCATCAAAACACAAGTTCTCCCTCGCCCTGCTTGAGGTGCAGTTCGTGGCTGTCCCCAAGTTGCCCAGCACCCTCTGCACACTGTGGATAATCTCTGCGTTGTGAACCCCACTTTCCCGGAATTCAGAAACTCCATTCTGCCAGCCTCCCAGCCCCGAGGGGGTCTCAGCATGATTTTGGCTCTGCCACGCAGACACATACAGACGCCCCCGACGACGAGAGCTATGGAGGGGCAACGGCCGGTGCCCAGCCTGGCCAGCTGGGACACCAGTCCTGAGCGGCTGCTCCTCCAGTCCCCCGCCCCCACGGGGCCCCTTAGGAAAACCGCCTGCCGACACCGACTCGGGCGTGTGAGCACAGCTCCCACCCTCAGACGAACAAGATAACTTTATTCTTTCTGTGACGATTTATCTCTCTAGATCCAGTCTACCCGGGTGGCGATACAGAACACATCTTCGTTCCCAGGGCTGTGTCCGATCGAAGGGCCACGCCACAGCCTGGAGGCCTAAGGTCGTCTGTGGCCCACCGGCCGGGACCACCCTCACCCATTACTACAGTAAGGTCTTGCTCCTCTCGGACCCATTCACCACCCCCCCCCGACTCCTTCCAAACCCTCTCCCCAGGCAGCCCAGGGTGTCTCTTCTGGGTTTGAGGGTGGTCCCTCCCTCCCACTCTGTCTTGAAGTGCTTTGAGGGGCCTCTCCAAAGCTCACTCCCTCTGTCTTGACATTCATCTTGGATAGGCCTGTGGCGCAGGGGGTCGAGGCTCCAGCAAACGAGGGCTCCATCAGTTGTCTGCTCTGTCGATCCCCCAATCCCTCCCTAGTCATCCTGCTTAAATGGGATCTGGGGGGCATACTGCTGGAAAGGATGTCATGAAGGAAATGAAAAACATCAGCTCACCGCACCAAAAAATGACCAATTCGTTTAAAGGAAAGGGAGAAATCCCACTTATGACACCACAAAAACTCGAAATTACCTAGCAACACACATATCGAGGAAGAGACAAGACTCGCATGAAGATGGTGATGGAACTGTATCGAGGAGCATTATTTTGAGGCCAAACGGTGAGATGTGTTGAGTTTCCGAGGGGAAGACATAAAATAGTAAAACTAGCATCCTTCCCCAACCTCATACCTAAATGAGTGACATGCCAGACAAAATTCTGAGCATTATTCTGGAACTGGACAAATGGGTTCTAAAATTCACATGTAAGAGTAAAGAGTGAGAAGTAGCGCAATTTATTCTTACGGAAATAATCTTTTGAAACGAAGAACAGGGAGGAGAATTTGCTTTACCAGTTGTTGAATCTGTCGGTATCAAAACGGCACCGCAGGCCCCTTGTGGCAAAGTGCCTGGTGGGACGCCGAGGGGCGGCACGTCAGCAACAGGAAAGCACATGTGAGAACGTATTCCGTTATCAAAACGGCACATCGAGTCAATCAGGGAAAGACTTACGTAATAAATGGCATTGACAAAAATTGGCCTTTTTTTTTTTTTTAGAAGTCCCTGCCTCCTGCCACATCGGAAACAAACTCCAGGAGGACCACGTATCTGAATGTAATTGCCAAGTCTGTAACAATGTTACAAGAAAATATAAAGACTGTTTTCACAAGGGCAAAGGTGATTCTCCTAAGAGCTGAAAAATCAGAAACCATAAAAGAACAATTGGATCTGACCTCACGGCACTTGAGAACATGCCTATGTGTACAACGAAGATGCCAAAACAAAACATACACCGTGGGGAAGGCTGAGTCCCTAACACACAAAGTGGTCTACAAATCAATTAGGAAAGACAAACGCCACAACAGCAGGATGGGCTGAGGATCGATCGGACAGTTACAGGAGAAACACAGCGACTGACAGACGTCTCACGAGGTCAGGGTCACAAACGAATTTTTACGTGTCCGTCCGATAGGATTCTAGTTTTTGCCTCCCAGACCGGCAACCGTTCCTTGGATAACATCCACGGCTAGTGGGGGTGCAAGGAACTGGCGGGACCGGACGCCGCCTTTTTCGAGGTGTCTGTTTTGTTTTTCAGCAGATCTCCTCTCGGGATGGACCCGCAGAAATAATCGCGTGAGTCCGTGAGGATTGAGGACGAGCACTGTCACGGGCGGTGTCGCTGAGAGCAGACCCCTGTGCACACGGGCAAGGGTGGTCAAATAAATCTCCGTCCGTTCGTTCAGGGGAGCTCAGCGGACACTGGAAACAAAGTCCCTCTAGACGTGTGGACCCAGAGAGACGTCCTTGGTGAACTGCCTGGAAAAAGGCCTCATGGGCACGCTGGTGTATCGCCACTTCACCCGGGCTGCCGAGCGCCACCCTCCAGCACCCCGCTAGGGAGGGGACCGCCGGAACAGCTCGAGCAGCGGAGCCGCGGACTCGGGCCGGCGGCCGGGGAGTGGGCGCTGCGAGGGCGCTGCCCGCCCTGCGCCCGCCCGGGAAGCCCCTGCTCACCGCCGCTCGGTCCCATTTTTAAAAGAGCTGGGAGAGCGTCTCTCGCCTTTCTGTTTTAAATACGCCTCCCAAATGATCGATCCGGCACACGAAGACTGACATACGAGTTGGCCTGACTCGTAGGAAGTGGCAAACCCCGGTCCTCCCAGGGCCTCTGGGCTAAACTGCTCCCGACCTCGCAGGCTCCAGCTCCCGGCCTCCGCGATGCTCAACTTGCTCTTCGCACGTCCCTTGAGCGAGCTGCCGTCTTCCGGGCCACCCGCCAGCAGCACCCAGTCCCTACGCTCCCCAAAGCACCAGACACAAGCGATGGGTAGCACACTTTACTGAGGTTTGGGCGGGGACAGGGTGGGGTACATTGCAGAGCAGCAGAGCAAACTTAAAACAGACCAGAGACGACCCTCGGACAAGTCCCTTGGCCATTTCCACCAGCAGGAAGCTGATGACGGTCTCCAGCGACCCCGCTGTCCTCTCTGGTTCACTGACCCCAGACCCCCAGATCCCTCTCCATGGCTCGTGAGAGAAGGCTGGAAGGCAGGCCGAGGCAAGCTCTTAGTAGAACCATTGTACTTGCTAAGGAGCCAGGACCCAGGAGTGACCGTGGCCTGGGTCAGCCGCACAAGGACGAAGGAGACTGGACGATGACCTGACCCCAGAGGAAGCCTGGAGCAGCCGCCAAGTGCCACAGGATGAGCCACATGGCCAGTGAGTGTGGGAGGCTGGGCTGGGCTTGGGAACAAGGACGAGACCACAGACCCACGGCTGGAGGAAGAAGGGCCAGGAGAAGCAGCACCCGAGGCTCAGCTCCCGGGGTCCGCCCCTGCCTCCTCCCGCCCGCGTGCCCGGCCGGTCTGTGCTTCCCAGGGCTGGCCTTCGGGACCCGTCCGTGGTGGTGCCCGACTCAGGGTGGGGACGGGGACATCTGCTTAAGAGGCAGAGTCCATGTGTTTGAGGGCTCCATGTGGGCCTGCGGGAGCCCTGACCGCTCAGGGGGCTCGCCCCGAGTCCGGTCACCCGCAGGGCCAACGGAGAGGAAGTGAGAACAGGAACAAGGGTCCTACACACAGGGGCATGTGCGTCCGTGCGTCACTGTGTGGGACGCGGGCGTGTGTGGCTGTCTGTGGCGTGGCACACCGGTCCATGTGCTAGTGGGATGTAGATGGTTCAGTGTGCACGCGTGTGCGCACCAGTGGGAGTGAGCGTGAGTACGTGAGCGGATGTGAGTGTCCCACTCTGCAGGCTTGGGCAGCGTGAGCCACGGTGCGTGCGTGCTGGTCTGTGCGTGCCTGTGGGAGTGAGCGTGTGTGTGAGTGGATGCGTGTACCACTGCAGGCGTGGGGGGTGTGCGCCCGGTGCGTGTGCTAGTGTCTGTGCACGTCTGTGCGTGTCCACTGTCCACAGCGTGCACAGGCGATAAGGCCTCACCCACCCTCGGGCTCACCCTGTCGTCTTCTTCACCTGACTCTAACCCTCCCCCAGCCCACTGCCCCCAAACCTCACTCAGCCCCAGGAAGCCCAGCGCAACACCCGCGGCCCCCAGCACCCCTGTGCCCACCTGCCCGACCGCTTCCTCGGCACCTCACTCCCTGCCCTGCCAGGAACCTCCGCCCCACGCCCAGGCCAGACCCAGGTCCCCAGACTCAGTAGTGACTTTGTCACTCTGCGGATCCTGCCTTCACAGCCAGGCTGCTGAGCCGGCCCGGCCCAGCCCAGCCTCCCCTCAGAGACCTAGAGGTCCCAGCTGCTCCCCTCACCCCCAGGCCTCCTGCCACCTGACACCTGGCGTCCTGGACACATCCTGCTGGCTGGGACTCAGAGCTGGTAGAGAGACGGGGAGGGGCGAGGGCCACAGATGGTGGAGCCAGGCCAAGGCTGCCCCCAGCCCCAGCCAGGCCAGGCTGAGGAGGGGGCAGCCACAAGCTCCAGGAAAGCAGCTCAGAAGCCCTGCGGGAGGGAGGGGACCTCAGGGCCCAGCCCGGAGGAGGGCAGGCCCCAGGCTGAGCAGGAGGCCGCCGGCCAGGGCCCAGGGGCTGCCCCTGGCCACGGACACCCCGTTGCACAAATCCTGGTCGCAGCAGTCCACGTCCACTTTCAAGATCCCAGAGTTAATGAAACCCATCAGGTAATCTGAGAAAAAGTGCCGCTTAACGAAGTCGCAGGACGAGGCACACATCCTGTTCACGGAATGGTCCTTCCTGCCTGGGGAAGAGGAGGGGGCCTGGGGTCAGGTCCCGAACTGGGTCCTGGGCACGTCTCCGATGACATGGCAAGGGGCACGGAGGGACCAGGGCAGGACAGGCGCCTGCTTGCGGTCACACAGCAGGCCGGAGGGGCTCCGATGACCCCCAAGCTCTCCCCACCTGGCCCTGGGGTCCAACTTACTGCTGCTGGGATCGGTGATCCGCACGCTGGCGCACACTGTGTCCGATGGCTGGCACTGCTTCGGCGTGCAGTGACTGGAGTTGGTGGTCAGTGTGCAGTCCTGGCACCACAGGCTGTGAGCTGGTGGAGGCCGGAGGGGGAGGGTGACCAGGGGCACTGAGGGCCAGGCCGGCGGCCCCTGCAGCCTGCCCCCTCCAGCTGCTAGCCGTCCTGAGAGAGCCCCGGGACCGTGTGAGGCTGGGCAGCCCCCGGCCATCAGCTACCAGACCAGACGGGCATCTGGACGACAGGTCCGGGGAGAACCTGGGTTCCTTCCCAGCACTTACAGGGAGGGAGCCACCACTGGGACTCTGGATGCCCCCATGTCCCCTCCGTGGCCCCATGTGCAGATGCACACACACAGCCACAGGTCCTCACACCAATGGCGCCCTCCGGCACACCCCCAACTCTTCCCCCGCTCCCTGCCCCTCCCCCTCCCGGGGCGCAGTGGACTCTAAGCTTGGAAAGACCAGCAGGACTCGATGGGTGGCCAGGTGGGGCTCCGCCAGGGAGCACAGAAACTCGCCCTGAGCGACAGGTGTCCGCGGAGGACCAGCCGGCTGCAAGGCGGGGAGAGAAAGCTCGAGGGTCCCCCGCGGCCCGGAGGGACCCCCGGACCCCGTGGCCGGAGCTGGAGCAGCGTGAGGAAAAGCGACTCAGGCCAGGACCCGGCTGGAGTCCCGGGGGCCAGAGTAACGTGGATCTGACGGGCACCATCGGAGGATGACGGCCCCGCCCCGGGCGGGCCGCCCCCAGACTCACCGGGCGCAGAGCACAGCAGAGCGGCCAGCAGCACCAGGCCGAGGCCCCTCATGGCTGCAGGCGGCATGCTCCGGGCGGGCCTCGGGCAGGCGCTTGGACCGCACGCGGGAGTCTTCTCGGGCGCGGACCTGGCAACGAGCAGCCTCGGTCAGTAGCCCCGGCCCCCGGCCGAGCTCGAAAGACCCTTTCCTTTTCTGGCCCCCAAACGCGACCCCCTCCCCGGAATCCACCCTCGGGTCCCTCTTCCGGCCCCACCCCCTGCCCATCGCCCAGAGCGTCCACCATCACGGCGTCACTCGGG